TGCATCTGGAGCTGTCATTGGACCAGATGGAAAACCAATTCCACCCGATGCCAGTGGGAAACCACTTTCCAAGGATGGATCCCCACTTCCAACTGATGCATCTGGAAACTATGTTCTCATCCCTACCGAGGAAGACACCACCAAGACTCTTCCTACGGATGATTCTGGTATTGTCATTTATCCAATCACAAGACCTATTACATGTCAAAATTTTGATTTTTTCAAAGTGGAAATTTTAAGACATATTGCGGCATTCGAATAATTGTCTTTCTATGTTGCACAATAATATTTTAAGCACTTTAAATTACCTATATGCATGTAAAAATCACATGTTAATGCATGTAATATTTCCCCCGGGGTATTTATATGTTTCTATAGTACATCTTCACTGTGATGAGTTCTATGGTCATAACAAGAAAAGAAGTGAACTTGGGATTTTTGAGATATTGAAAATTTTTTCAGTTTTTTTCAAAAAATCAATAATCCAATCAATGAGAAAAAAATCAAAAAATTTTTTTCCAAAAGATCAATAAGATGTCTATTCACTGTTTTTTAAATCTGAACAAACGAACAATAACAGACAAAGTTATGATTTTTTGAAAATATAGCCATTTTTTGGTACGTTTTGGGCCATAACTCCCCAAAAAAAAATTGTTACCAACTATTCCTTTTGGATTCTAAAATAACTTTTCACGCTCTTTCCAACCTTCTAGGTCTCAATTTTTTCAAGGGTAACACTTGGGAGTCATTCCTGCCAGTGTTTTGTTTCTATGAGAGTTCTAATTCTAATGATTTTCAAAACTAGAATAATAGCTAAATTAACAGGAAGAATGTTTAAAACGAAAAAAAGTCCAATAAATTAATTTACATACGTATTTTCTCCAACTGAAGCTCATGGGCTTCTATTTTCCAACCTCATTCTCTGGAAATTACCAAACTTAAAAAAAAAGAATCATACTTGCAACGGGCTGAACCGGGCCGGGCTTTTTACAGAATTTTCAGGGGCCGGCGCGGCCAGGCCCGGCCCGTCTCGGCCCGGGTTTTCAGAAGAAAATGTTCCTGTCTTTTCGAAAAAATTTTTGGGGTCAATAGAAAAAAATGGAAAATTTTTCGGTCGTGAAAAAAATTTCAAAATGAGTGTCCATAAAAAAGGATTTTTTCACAAAAAGTTTTGAAAAAATGTTTGAAATTTCAATTTTTTTTTGAAATTTGGAGAACCGGGCCCTGATTTTGCAAGTATGGAAAGAAAATGTCTGCAATAACCGAGTATACGAACTGAACTGCACAAACTTCTATTAGAGAAAATACGTTATATGGACCATAGCTCATGAATCGATAACTTTAAAAACATTTGCCTGTCACGACGACATACCTGTCCATCTGGTCCGACTGGTTTTCCATCTTCATTCTTCTCAATTACAGTTCCATCTTGAGTGACGAAAGCACCCGAAGAATCAGTTCCAAGTGGTGTTCCATCTGGATTAGTGATTGGATAAATGACATTTCCTTCAGAATCCGTTGGAAGAGTCTTGGTGGTTTCTTCTTCTGCTGGAACAAGAATGTAGTTACCAGAAGCGTCAGTTGGAAGTGGAGATCCATCCTTAGACAAAGGTTTTCCGCTTGGATCCGTTGGAATTGGTTCTCCATCTGGTCCAATGACCGCTCCAGAGCCATCAGTAGGCAATGGTGTTCCATCAGGTCCACGAACCGGATAAACAGTCTTTCCAGTAGCATCAGTTGGCAATACTTGTCCATCTGGTCCAACAACTGGATAGATGTAATTTCCTGAGGCATCGGTTGGGAGAACAGCACCATCAGGGCCTACTGGTTTTCCTTCGTCGTCCTTTTCAACAACGGTACCATCATCGGTAACAAAGTTTCCTGAAGCATCAGTTCCGAGTGGAGTTCCATCTGGTCTAGTGATTGGATAGATGACGTTTCCAGATTCATCAGTTGGAAGATATTTGGTAACATCTTCTCCAGTTGGAACAAGAACATAATTTCCTTGGTTATCAGTTGGTAATGGAGATCCATCCTGGGAAAGTGGTTTGCCACTGGCATCGGTTGGAATTGGTTCTCCATCTGGTCCAATGACAGCGCCAGAAGCATCAGTTGGAAGTGGAGTTCCATCTGGTCCGCGAACTGGGTATACTGTCTTTCCTGTAGCATCAGTTGGAAGTACTTGTCCGTCTGGTCCAACAGCTGGGTAAATGTAATTTCCGGATTCGTCAGTTTGAAGGACCTGGAAGAGAACAAATCAATTTTATTCAAATTTTGGCAATTTTCACATGGAATGACTCCCAAGTGTTACCCTTGAAAAAAATTGAGACCTAGATGGTTGGAAAGAACGTAAAAAGTTATTTTAGAATCCAAAAGGAATAGTTGATAAAATTTTTTTTTTG